GCGCGGGGGACCCGAAGTGAACTGGAGTCCAGTCACTGGGCTTTGGGCCCCCCACCTGTCTGCCTGTCTCTCTCTTTGTCTTTCACACACACAGCCACGCAGCCAACCCGGATTGGGACGCTGGGCGGCCGGCGGGCCGGCGGGCCGGCAGCTGAGCGATTCCGAAGAGTCGTTTCGTCGCTCTGTCTCTCTCGCACTCATGGGGCACTCCGTAAGGGTGCGAGAGAGACAGAGCGACAAAGCGATCTTCTGAATCACTCGGCAGGGCGGCGGACGCAGCGGCGGCGACGTGTTGCAAGGACCTGCTCTGCCCGCACGGCCGCACGGTGTTCGGTCCACGGTCGCCACGGCCCACGGCCCGCGCGGAATCTGTCCGGGGATCGAATCATCGAATCACGTGGCCCACCCGCCTGCCGTAGCGCCTCGTCGCTCTGTCTCTCTCGCACCCATTGGACCTGCGCTGCCCGCGAGGCGTTTTCATTTTGACCGTGCCTGCTTATTGCTCTCTCTCTCTCTCGCACTTGGACCGCGTTGCCGCGTACATACACATGCATCACGGCATTGCGCTGGCCGCGCACTTGCAGTGCGCTGCCGCACTGGGATGCCTTGCGGTAGGCCTTCGTCCGCGGTGGTCTTTTACATTCCGACTGGCAACACTGGACCTGGCCAACCCGGCGACCCGGCCCCTCTCCCCTCGCCGCCCACCTGCCCACACCACCCCACCTACGCCTCCCCCTCCCCCTTCCCGGCCCTACCTGGCTCGCCTGGCTCTCGCGTAGCCATGCGACGCGACGCCACGCCATGCGTAGCCCCTTTGTAACGAATGCCACCCATCTTCTCGGGGCTCGGGGATGACAAGGGACTACCTGTCCGCCTGGCCGAGGCCCCGGCATGGGCCCCGGGCCTCTCCGGACCGGCCGCCTGGACTCTGCCTGCACACCCTGGACATCGCCATGGTGCCTTTGGCCAAGGCGATCCTGGCCCTGGCGCACTCCACCCAACTCCACCGTGTGCAACTGCACTGCAAGCGAGCTGGCGCTACTGCAGTCACCACTGCAGCGCCGCTGTTCGTTCTTGTCTCAAAGCGACTTGATTGGCGATGGATCCGCTTCTTCCTTGTTTCCTGTTTGGCGCGCTCTCGTTGGAGTGCTGTTGGCGAGGACGGCGTCGTCGCCTTCACAGTGCGGTTGCAGGGCAGTGCAACACAGTGCAGGGCCCACTAGGCCCCACCCGGCGCCACCTGCTGGCTAGAAGGCGGCCTTGGCCGGTCCCCTGGCGGTCCCCTGGCGGTCCCCTGCGGTCCCCTGGCGGTCCCCTGACTGTTCCCTGCTCCCCGTCGCCGCCAACGACCGCCTCTTTACGCCCGCGGGACTCGCGGAGCGGCGGCACTCGTGGCACTGCACTCTCAGGGAGGGCTGAGAGCGCGTTGAGACGGACTCGCCGCGTTCGTCCCTTTTGTTGTTTTTCGTTTGCCGAAGTGACGCACTGTGAAAATTTGTCATCACTTTATGACAAAAACGCGGATGACATTTTCGTCGTTAATTTCGAATTATGACAATCTCATCACAAATTGATGACATTTTCATCAATGCTCCTATACTTATTGCATGGGCGTGACAACAATGTCATCAATTTTTTTGATGACATTGTTGTAAGGAAAATTAGCCTTGAAATTGTCATCAAGTGATGACTCAAATTTTCACAGTGCGGTGGAAGGCGGAAAACAAAATTCAGCGCCCTGTTATAGTAAATTTTGTGAGATGAACACAATCATGTTGGCGTTCCTTGGTGAATACTCAAGTGTCGTTTGACCCAAAGATGAAACGGGCGACGTATTTGCGACAAAGTAGACTTGACCACCACAAGGCGCGGCGTGACCTCGGGGCATGGAGCCCGCCCAGCCGGCCTGGCCGTTATCGGCGCCCTGCTCGCCGTGCTCGCTCCGCTCCGCTCCATGCAAGTCGCGGCGGCGGACTCGGACTCGGCCTCCGCGGCCAGTGGCCAGCAGGACCGAGCAGGACGCGGGGCGACGCGGATTCGGATCCGGGTGACGGCCTGTCGGCATGGCCAACCCGAATGATAGAACGGGAGTGACGACGACGCTCTGCAAAGTGCAATTGGGCCGCGTTTTTGTATCTTCCTCTTCTTCTCCTCCCGTTTGGTTGTGCCTGGCGCGGCCTTGGCGGCGACTTGGCGTCTTTTTGCAGCGCGAATCTTGATTCGACACCTCTGCCTCCTGCCAGCGCCTCTCCTCGCTGGCCGGGCCGGGCCGCGCCCGATCGTTCGGACTGTACAGCTCTTGGGATTCTGTCGCACGATTCGCGTCGCGTTGCCTCGCCGTGCCGACGTCCGCGTCGTCCGCGTCGTCGGGCAGCACGGCCGTCATCGCCACGGCCCGCGCAGCACGGCGCGGCACGGCGCGGCACGGCGCAGCCCCCAAGAGGCACTTGGATTTTCGTTCCTCCTTTCAAGGCTTGAACCGAGCAGAGCGATTATACTGTGCCCACTGGCTGCTTCACTGGCGCGTGTCATCACTGGGACAAATGGACTCCGAGCTTCAAAGATGCCTTTGCGAGTGTCTTAGTGTATGTGTGTGTGTGTGGTCCTGGTGGATCAGGAGGAGGACAGGGCCCAAAACGCGTGGAACACCCACACACACACCCACCCACACACACACACTCTCACACACACTCACACACACACACTCACACACAGGCGTAGAACTGACCCCGCTCTGCTTGTTGACCGTTGCCCCACACAGACCACACCCACACACTCACACACACACACGACCGGAAGCGGCTGCTTTGGTCAGTTCCTGCACCGCGGCGGCGCGGCGGCGCGGCGTCCGTCGGTGCAGTATCAGCCCGCCTAGTCCGCGGAGTGCCATTTTGGTGCCATCGCGGTGACGCGGTCGCGCCCACCGCGGTTCCGCCCGAGTGACTCGCAGGGCACGTCTTCGGCTTGGCTGCCTGTGTTCGCGGAACCGCGGTGGAATCAGGCGGCAAGGGCTGCCAGGGCTGCCAACCCGATCATGTTGACGCGTGACGGTGTGTGGAGCGGCCTGTGAACCTCGACCTACGGCATCACTACTGTACCGGCCGGGAGCGTTCGGCTGTCACGTTTCGCATTGCACTGAAATCGCCCCCTGCCCTCAGAGTATACTACACTGCAGGTGGCCGCACTGCGCCGGGCGCGCCAAACGCACTGTACTCCCGGATCGAGATGTCGACACTGGACTCGGCGGGGATTTGGCGGACTTGACAAGTGGCTTAGTTTGTTATCGTCTGCCTGCCTGCGCAGTGTCACGTCGGCCCCCTGCACGACCAGCGCGTTGCCGTATGGACTCAATCGGTGCAATGGTCTCGCTCGTATCAGGGAGATAAATGGACGGCATCGTTGTTTTGCGTTACTGTACGCACTCCTGGCTGCACTCCTTGGCAGACACCAATTGATTTCCAAAGTGAGAAATAAGCGGGCAAGGAGGGCTGGGCGTTGCGCTTTGCACGTCTCGTGCGTGTCTGGAGCGTGAAACATCCCCCGTGGCGTGCACTGTGGTGCCGTGGCATAGCCGTGGCGGGGCCGACACGAGACGGGCGACGATCCGATTGGGTAGCGATCAATCCGCACCAGTGTGCCGCACCAGTGTGCCGCACCAGTGTGCCGCACCAGCCGACGGGGGAGCTGCTGTCGACTGCCGTTCTCTCCACCATTCCTTTTTACGCAACTTAAAAAAACAAAACACAAAAAAAACTTGATTCTTTTTTTTTTTTTTCAATTTTTTTTCAAATGTCTAATTAATTTTTCTCAATTTTATTTCTCTAACGGTGCTGTCGTTTTTGTTGTTGCAGGGGACACACACGAGGCCAGGCCGCCAGCTGCGGGCGGCGAGACGCGACAGCGCGGCGTGAGCGTGAGCAGCGCAGTGTAGTAGACCACGGCCACCGACATCGCCGTATCCGTGTTCAAATACAAATTTCAAGTCCCCGGCCTCCACCTCTACCTTTGTCGAATGCACGACAAGGTTGCGCCAGTGGCGAGTGGGTGCGTTGCCCGGCGTTGCCTCGGTGCCGTGTGCACGCGGCGCGCCGTGCCCTGGCCGTGCCCTGGCCGTGCCCACCGAGGCTGCCTGCCTGCCCGACAGGCTTATCCGCTTATCACGAGGCCGATAGGGCAGATAACGCAGATACGAGGCCGGGCGCTGCTATACCTGTCTCCACGCGTTACCGCACTCTGAGGGCCGGTCGAAATTGCCAGGGCTTTATAGAAGGGTTGTTAGGGGTGTTGTTAGGGGCGCACCGTGCGCTCTGATAAAAATTCACACGCACGGCAGGTTTTTTTTTTCTTGCTCTTGTCCGGGTTACCTACGTTCCGTTTTTTGGCACTAGTTGACATCCGGCCGAGGTTGCGCCCCATTGTGGCGTCGGCGACGCCCAGGGTGAGGCGCGGCGGCTAGCGGCGGCCCGGCCCCATGGCGGCCCCATGGCGGTGCCCTTGTCGCTTGCCGCCGCCTGTCGCATTGTGATTGCGCCGCGGGCCGCCAGAGGTCGCAGCCGCACGGCGGGCGTCGGACTCCCCCAGAGTCCTGGCTCCTGCCCTGCCTCTTTCCGACTGTACCGCGGTGTGCACTGATGTACAAACTGCGCACTGCGGTACTGCACTGGTCCGCGTGCACGCCGACAGCGCCAGCAGGCTTCGCGCCTCGCGACGCTCTCGAGATTAGCTGCATAATTAGACTACTGGGGCGATGCAGCCCTGATGCAGCAGGGACGGTGCGAAGGGAAACGGAAAACGGCGGCGAACACACTGCCCAGTGGCGTGATCAGAATTTTTCCAAACCGGGGGGAACGGCGAGTTGGTATCACGAATAGCGTTCAGCCGGTGACGGAGGTCATGGCACTGTCTTCTGGCTGACGCTGGCGGACGCTACTCGCTCTGACGGCAGCGCGAGTGCCAGAGCAGCCGGAGTGTGTGAGTGTGTAACGTTCGTCTGGTTGCAGGTCTCCGTCTTCCTCCATCATGGCCGTGGCCAACGTGGCCCGCGCGGCCTCCAGGCTGGGCGTCCTGCTCTGCCTGGCGTGCTTCGCCCTCCCCGCCCTGTCCAACCCGTCCACCGCGCCGCCCCCGACCGGCGACTCCCTGGAGCTGGCCGACGACAAGGACCTCGTGTTCGAGGACATCCTGTCGCGCCACTCCGTGGTCTGCCCCACGCCCATGTGCGAGTGCCGCCACGCCGGGTCCGGCGGCATCGCCGCCAAGTGCTCCACGCTGGACTTCAAGGTTCGCCATTTCGTCTATTTACTTTCCGAGTTTTTCGGCTTGGTGCTGACTAACTGAACGTCTTCGCCGTCCCTCCGCAGGGCCAGCGCTTCCAGGGCGTGGTGAACCACTTTGAAGTGAGCAACGCTCCCGAGCTGGACAACGGCCTCTTCCTCGTCAACCACTCGCTCGCGTCCCTCGGCCTGCAGTTCTTGACCTCGGTCAAGATCTCCAACGCGTCCATCAAGGGCCTCAGCCTGTCCACGTTCGACGGCCTCACGGAGCTGTACGACGTGGACCTGTCCGACAACCACATCATGATCCCGCACCGCGACCTCTTCCAGAAGAACTCGGCGCTGCGCCGGCTGTCGCTGCGCGGCAACCCGCTCAACGTGGCGCAGGTCGTGGAGAACTCCCTGGCCAAGAGGTAAGCACGACGCCTAGCCTGGCGGGTAGGCAACTCTGCGCTTGTGCGCGCTGCGGCTTGCCTATCCGCCAGGCGTTTGCCCGCCACCAAAATGTGCGATCCTCCGCGTGTCGCCACCGGCAAACTTATGAAAATGTCTGGTCCCGCAGCCACCTGCTCAACTCGACCTCCCTCAACGAGCTGGACCTGTCGCGGTGCGAGCTGGCCTTTCTCTCGCAGCACATGTTCTCGCGCATGCGGCACCTGGAGCGCCTGCTGCTGGTGGGCAACGGCATCAAGACGATCCACCCGCAGGCGCTGTCCGGGCTGGGCGAGCTGGAGGAGCTGGACCTGTCCAACAACGACATCCACGCGCTGAGCACGGCCATGTTCGCCAACAACACCGAGCTCACGGAGCTGCGCCTGCGCAACAACTCGCTGCACTCGCTGCGCGGCGTGGAGATCCTGGGCCTGGACGAGCTGGACGTGTCCGAGAACTGGCTGACGGAGATCGACAACGAGACGTTCGTCGGCTTCGCGGCGCTCACCCGCCTCAACCTCAGCGACAACGCCATCGGCAAGATCGACACCGCCGCCTTCCTGCCCCTGCGCCACCTGCAGGTACAGTGCGAAGTGCGAGCCTCCGGGCTCCTGGTTCCAGTGAGCGTGATGTGAGTGCGTCTTGACGAACCCTCTTCCCTCCGCAGGACCTCGACCTGTCCGGCAACGACATCCAGGGCGCGCTGCCGCGCGAGCTGTTCGCCGCGTGCGAGGTGCTGGAGACCCTGAACCTGGCCGACAACCCCAGCATGAGCCTGCCCGAGGGCGGCTTCCTGGGCCAGTTCAGCGCGCTGTATCAGCTCGACCTGTCGCTCATCAACCTCACCGTCCTGGCCGACGACAGCTTCATGGGCATGGACCACTTGACCATCCTCAACCTCCACGGCAACAGTCTGTCTGCGATCAGCGCCGGCGTGTTCCGCCGCCTGCCTCAGGTGCGAGTCTTTTCCAGTGTGGGGGCGGTCCACGACAGAGTGACGGAGACAGTGATACGACTCCTCTTTTGTTTCTCACAGCTGTCGTCGCTCGACCTGTCCGACAACTACATCGAGGCGCTGGACAGCAAGGCCTTCGAGACCAACAGCTTCCTCCGCCACCTGGACCTCTCCGGCAACCCGCTGACGGCCGTGTCGCCGCAGCTGTTCGTCGGCACGCCCTACCTGCGCTGGCTGGACCTGAGCCACTGCCGCCTGTCCTCGCTGTGGGACAAGGACGCGCAGGAGCTCAGCCGCGACGTGGACCGCGTGTCGCTGCTGCGCAAGCTGACCCACCTCAACGTGGCCGGCAACAACATCACCACGCTGCGCCCGCGCGACATGACCCTGTTCTCGGGACTGGTGAGTCGGGGCGCCCTGCCCAGCCCTGCGCAGCCCTGCGCAGCCCTGCGGTGCTCGGTAAACGTAAGCGTGTGCGGAACTGATGCTAATACTCTCTTCCCTTCTGCAGACCGTCCTCGACATCAGCGGCAACCCGCTCGAGTGCACCAAGGAGCTGCACTTCTTGATGGAGTGGCTGGTGAAGAACTCCGTGACGCCGCGCGTGGACCGCCGCGCAGCCGGCGCCATGCAGACCGACCTGCTGCACGCCGTGGAGGACATGATGGAGGAGGAGAAGAGCCTGCTCAGCCGCTGGTCCGCCGAGTACGACAAGCTGTGCGGGGAGCGCGCCTTCGCCAGCGAGCGCGCCCGCCTGCAGAACAGTATCCTCGCCTCGTCGTCATCCTCGCCCGTGGCGCCGTCCACGCGCGCCCCCGCCAGGAAGGGCGTCACCCAGGAGGAGCTGGACGACGTGGAGATGCTGCTGGGCGCCAAGAAGCTGCCCGCGCTCTCCGCCGACGTGGATGAGGCCGATTCCGATGAGGACGACGACGATGACAGCATGTACTCCGAGACTGACAGCGCGACCAACGCCATCGTGGAGGAGGCCGACGAGGACGACGATGAAGACGACGACGAGGACGACGACGAGTACGACGACTCGAACCTGATAACGGACAACGGCAGCAACGGCACGGACTACCTGGCCTTCACGCACCGTGGCAGCCCCTACCTGTGGCCCGTGCTGACCATCAGCGCGCTGCTCGCCACCACGGTGCTCGTCGTGTCCAACGTGGTGGTGTGCTTGGTGCGCCGGCGACGCGCCCGTCGCTACGCGCGCCTGCAGTCCACCATGTTCTCCCATGGAGGCATGCCCGGCTCCTTCATCAAGCAGACGAAGAAGGACGGCGGCTTCGTGTACAAGAAGCTGTACGAGGACACGACCACGCCCATCTTCGTGCCGCCACAGCCGGCCGCGCCGCAGGCGCGCACCTTCCGTTTCCCGCTGGACCCCAGCGACCTCCTGGGCCACACCGACACGCCGGCCCAGCGGGTGTAAATCTGTAAAGCCTGCACCAGCGTGCACCCAATCCTCTTCCATGGTCCATCTCCAGGTTATTTTTCAATTTTTTTTCAGGTAAACTTTTTTTAGTACATTTACTGTATTGTTACTTAACATATCAGGACAGTGGTGCACGGCTGAGCGGGAATTTTTTTTTTAATTGTATGTATGTGTATGTGCGTTTGTCTGCGTGTGTCTGATCGTGTGTATGTGTGCGTCCGCGCGTGGCTGTAGCTTTCAGTGTGAGAGAATGTGTGTCCGACCAATTATTCTAAAATGTGTTCTCTGTGCTGAGTGACTTGAGAATTGTTACCCCACTGGGGCGTTTGCTGATAAAATAATGTTATGAGCCACCTGCTTTCATGGCAAGTCTGATCATGTGGATGGAATACTTTATTAACAAAACATGTCTACGAATTTCTATCAAATGATTTTGTAAGATCCTCTCACAATTTCTCATCAAGACTCGTGTATTCTTATAGATAACTGTTCTTTTTTTAAAAATTTTAACCGTTTACTGCTTGTGCATGTGTATTTACATGCAGATCATCATTATGAAATGTGCAGAGTTCTGGCATTTCAGAGGGGGGAGGATAGAAGGAGGTGTAGGTTTAGTGTTTAGACTTTAGGGGACAACAGTCATCTATGTCAAAGAAACCCGCCGGTACATTGTCGATAAAATTCTTATCAAAGATTTTTTGCAGCTCTGTTTTTAATTTTATTTATGTCCGCTAGTTTTGAGAATGAGAGACTAAGCTCCAACCTTATGACCTCATGATAATATCCGTCCATGTGGAAGCACAAGTGTAATACAATCGTGCATAATGTATTTTTCTACTGATTTATCTTCAGTCCTCCGTGTTTCACAATCTTCAACATTTTGAAACATTTCTCTTAGAAATGGGTCCTTTAAAATGTTTTTTTACTTGTTTTTACGTAAGTTTTGGTACTTATCCGCTGATTTTTCTTGTGTCATTGAGAGAGCTGCGATAAACTCTGGACTGAAGTAGAATAAGATAATTTGTATTATAGTTATGCTCACATATAAATGGATTGTACTGCCCTCAATATGAAATCTAAAATTTTTGCTTAACAGTGTCTCAAAAGAAAGCAGAATTTAGTGGTGGTTGCAATTTATCTGTATGTGAGTAGGTCCGGGTTTATTTCACCTACTCCCATGTTGACTATTCATTCCAATATTTTTTAACAAAACACATTGACTTTCCCAGGACATTCCTTGAACTTTTCTAATTTTGTTAACCATACCACAACATCTAACCAAGTGCCATACCATATTTATAAAAGTTTCATGTAGGATGTCAATCCTATATTCCTTTTGTAAGGGCGTGTTCATCAGTGTTTTGAATTATTCGTGATATATTGTTAGGTTTGTTCAGTGTAAACACAGAAGAAATTGTCACATATGTCAAATCATCAGCAGTTTATTGTGTGTTTACTTAATAAAATTACTTCTAAACAAAACTCTTTGTTCTTGTTTTGTTTTACCTGTTCTGCCTTTGCACCGACGTTCTCAAAGGGAAATTAAACAGTTTGACAGGTCAGTTAGAATGCGGAAAAAAAAAACACATGAATTCAGTCATAGTAGACCTGGTCGTTCCCCGGACACGGCCAGACACAGCAGCTACTTAGACTCGAGTCCCGTCTGGCAACTATACCATATATAAAAAATATATATATATATTTTTGTTTTGTTTATACTCCCTGTCCACGGTGCTCCGTGGCACTACTCCACGACTCCACGTTCGGTCGGTCAGTCGCTGCCCGCAGGCCACAACTAGTCAAGTCGGCGGAGCGATTTAGGAACGTACTCTTGTAAACTAGCAAAATGGCGGAAGCTATGCGGCAGCAGGTGGCGAATATGTTGAAGGGTATCGAAAGGTAATTACAGATTTTACTTGCCTCACTTACGTTTACTTCGGTGCAAAACCAAATATTCATTCTGTGGAAAATGTAGGTCTGGTTGCGACTCGCAATGAGTACCAGTTTCTCGTCATACGGAGTAGCATAACCTAACTTTTCTTCTCACATGTCAGCATATGTGTCTTCTGTTACAAACAAAATATTAGCTAATATTAGCTAATTCGTAATCAGTTTTTACTCTTGTCCCTCCTAAAAATTTGCCCTTTCTGATTTGGATGAATTTAACTCGCAGTTATTGCCTATACACTTCATTCATTTTCCATGTCAGTGATTGAACTGTCTTTTCTAATTTTACTCAATTTTTCTCCCAGATACAATCCTGAAAACTTAGCAACATTGGAGCGATATGTGGGTATGCAGTCGCAAGAAAACTCATACGACCTAGAAGCCAACCTTGCTGTTCTGAAGTTGTACCAGTTCAATCCCCACAAGTACAACAAGGATGTCGCCTGCAAAATTTTGCTGAAGGCTTTAACCAATTTCCCTCACACAGACTTTGTTCTCTGCCGGTGTCTTCTCAGTGAAAAACAGGTACTTAGCAATCTTATATCACCCTAGTGGTTTCAACAATATGGCATGCAGACATTCTGTCAGAAATGACCTGACATTGATTACATTAACCTATGATGACAACTAGCCAAAGCATAGCATTCGGATGGCAAGTCATTTATTTGAACTGTCGTCCTTGAGTGCTTTGAAGAAAATTGTTCCGAGAGCGATTTTGAACTTAATCTGAGGAAAAGAAATGTCAAAAGTAACTCAAGAGCTAACCAATTGCACATCACCAATATTGTATTTTTCTTAATTGCAGTGTGCTGAGAAACCCATGGACCAGATCATTTACTTAGCAGATATTTTGGAGAGGTGTGACTTCCAAGCTTTCTGGAACCGAATTTTGGGAATGCCTGAATTGTCGCTGCAGATTGTGGGATTTGCTGACTCCATTCGCAAATTCGTGTGTCACGTTGTTGGCATTACCTTCCAGACAGTTGAAAAGGCATTATTGTCTGAGTTATTAGGAGGTGTAGACGGTGAGTTTTACATAAAATTTCTTTGACAGGATTTAATTGTTTTTTGTAAATGTAACTTTAATACTGTTTATTTTAGCTCAAACTCTATCGCACTGGGTTAAGAAGTATGGATGGAAAGAAGATGGACAAGTGATTTTCATTGCTAGCCAAGATGAAAACATCAAGACCAAGAACATAACTGAAAAAATTGACTTTGAAAATGTGGGAGCCCTCATGTCTGCGTGCCAACGTTAAATTTGAACACCTCAGTATTTTGTGTTGATTGTCCAATCTAAGTTGTTGTCTCAATTTCCTCCCCATTGTCCATTTGTCACCCAAGCTTCCGATTTATTAAATTTGTAACAGAACTTGCAGAATATATATGCTTGTGTTTTTATAATTCTTACCTGATATTTCTTGGAAACCTCTACATTTGCTGAACATTTGTGCTAGGTGCTGACGGCAGAACTTACCCCTGGATTTTAGCTCGTGCAAACCGAAGCACGATGCTAATGTCCTGCGAAACGTAATATTGTTCGTTTTCTGAAGGCCGTGCCGAATGGTTGGCCTGTACTCACAGCCCTCGACTCACTGGCGCCAGGGGGATAGGCAACCCTATTGACATCTTTGAAACACACAACAAAAAGTGGCTGTTGTGCTGCGCTTGAACTTCTGATTCATGGATTGATAGTAACAGTCCGTGCCATTCCGGCATCAGTACGGGATGTATTTGTCGCAAACGATTGCGTCTTGTCCCGATCCCGACGATGGCAGTCCGTGACGCAGCGCGGATGCAAGGCTCAAGGGTGCAGCAGCAGCCGTGAGCTCGTTTCGCGAGACCCCTGTGACCTCGCGATGCGGTATCGCCTCGCCCAGGCAGGCCAGCCGATACTGTCCGAATGGCAAGGCAGCGAGTCGAGGCAAATTCCTTGCTAGTGTGGCGTGCGGCGCTTATTTGGGTTTCAGGCTTCAGTCCCACGAGTGCCGAGTGGACATCGACCGCGAAGTCATTGCTCTGCTGAATCGGAATCGAGCACCGTTGAAATGCCTCCCCTTTCGGAAAGGCCCACGCACTGCGCCGTCCTGGTGCTGCTGTGTCTGGTCAGCCTGGCCGCGCTCGAGGTGCTCGATGTCCCCGGCGAACATCCGGTAAGCCCATTCCGAGGACGGCGTGCCGATGCCGATGCCCTCTGGGAGGGAAATGACGCTCTTCTGGTGCAGGCCAAGCTGGCTCGCAGCCAGGGGTACCTCGGGGACCACCACTGGGCCACGACCGAGGACGGCTACCTCCTGAGCCTGTTCCGCATCCGGAACGAGACCGCCCTGCGCGCCATGGGTCGGGAGAAGAGCCCCGTGCTCGTCATGCCGGGCTTGGCCTGCAACGCCGCCATCTGGGTGCTCCTGGGGCCGGGGAAGGCACTTGGTGAGCTCGAGCGATCGCGGAGGGGCGGGTTTGTGCGCGACCGACCGAGCGCTTGCCTTCGGCTTCGGTATGCTGACCGACACTCCGAACTTGCCTGTGCCAGCGTACCTGCTAGCGGACCGCGGCTACGACGTCTGGCTGGGCAACTACCGCGGCGGCATGTACGCGCGCCGCCACGCCAACCTCACGGACCAGGATGCTGCGTTCTGGGACTTCAGGTCGAACCATTCCCTCGGCGCCCTCCTTGTCATCCAGTCAAAGAGATCGCTGACGTTGGCTTGTTGGCGTTGGCAGCTTCGACGACATCGGGCGCCTGGACGTGCCCGCCCTGCTGCAGGAGGTGGTGGCGCTGAGCGGCCACCCGACCGTGGCGTACATCGGCCACTCCATGGGGGCGAGCGTGCTGACGGTGATGGCGTCGTCGCGGCCGCGGTACCTGGAACGCGTCTCCCGCGCCTACCTGCTGGCCCCCGCCGCCTACATGGGCCACGCCTTGCAGCCCGCGGTCTACGGCAGCGCCGGCGCCGTCTCCACGCTGCACGTGCGTGCCGTGTTCCGTGCTTCGCGTTTGTCGTGAGAGCGGTGAGCGTGCCGGCCCTACTTTCGCTTCGCTTCGCAGGGAGGCTGGGGGCTGTTCGCGTCCGGTGAGATCCCCCTCAACTCGTGGTGGGTCCGCGCCGCCATCCACGGCGTCTGCTCCTCCGCCATGGCCACGCCGCTGTGCGTCCTGCTGGGTGGCGTGTACGCGGGCCACGACAGCGAGCAGATCAGCCAGGTGAGAGAGAAAGAGCGCCCCGAACTCCGGAGCGCACAGTGGTTCAGAAGCCGGTGGAGGCGGCCAAAACTCTATACGCGTTTTGAGCTCCAGAGTCGCTAAATGGGACTCGAACCGAACGTGTGACCCCACCAATCGATTCCTCGTTCGGAGAGCAATCCATTGGTGGGGTCACTCGTTCGGTTCGAGTCCCATTTAGCGACTCTGGAGCTCAAAACGCGTCTAGAGTTTTGGCCGCCTCCACCGACTTATGGCCCACTGTGGAGCGCCAGCCTTGACGCCAGCCTGACGAGCGCCCGCGGACGAGCGGATAGGCAAGCCCGCCGCGCGGTGTCGCCACGCGGCGCTGCCTATCCCCTGTTGCGCGGGCGCTCGGCTTGGCTCCGCACGGCCGAAGCAGAAAGAATCCCGGTGTGCTCTTCTTCTGCTCCAGGCGGACGTGCCCCTCTTCCTCAACTACATTCCGGACAGCATGTCGATGAAGAACGTGCGGCACTTCACGCAGCACTTCGGGCGCGGTGAGTCTCACTGCGCGTCTTTGGCCCTTCTCGATTAATCACGCCTGGCGTCTCTCGCCCAAGTTTTCTTGCACCAATGGTGACGCTGTTGACGTGATGCTCTCGGCCTTGCCACTTTTTCTGGCTAGAGCGCGACTTTCGGCGCTTCGACTACGGTGCGGAGGACAACCTTCGGAGGTACGCGAGCGAAGACGCACCCGAGTACAACGTCAGCAGGTCCACCTTCCCGGCCTCCGTCTACTACGGCGAGAACGACTTCCTGGTCAGCCCGCGGGTATGAATGACGTACGCTCGTGAGTTACGGTGAGGCGCCTTCGCTTTCAACTGTCAATGCGAACTTTTCTGTCCAGGATGTGTTGGCGTTTGCCGATACTCTGCCCAATGTGATCAGACCGCCTTACCGAATCCCGTACGACAAGTTCAGCCACATCGATTTCTTTTTGGCCAGGGATGCGAAAGCGTTCCTCTACGACCAAATGATTGAGGACCTGGATGAAGATGAACGGCAATTTGTGAATAATTAAGAATCATCAAAAGGTGTTCTAAAGCTATAAGTGTTAAACTCTTGATTGTTATTATTTTGATACCGGAGCTTAACTGGTATATAAATAAAGAAAAAACAATTAAAAATATTAAAGTTTTTATGTAACATTAACAAAATAACAACACGATGTGTGTTGTCACACCATTTTCTCTCAAACCCAAGCTACAACACTGACAGAAAAAACAAATGGGCAAGATTAAGTAATAAAAAATATAACATTTTGTATTGATTGAAATGATTATTGAAATACAATAAAGTGTTCAAACAATTGTTAAAACATTATTTTAAAGCAGGTACAATTTTTCATAGAACATTGAATCACACATTAGATAAGAACCAATAAAATTAATTAAATGCACATAATCTTCTTGTAACTTCACCAGGTAAATATAAAGCTGTGATAAAAATGAAGGTCAATAAATAAATGGAATTAAAGCAATAGCCAAGAGGACAAATTTGTCTTTCTCATTAGTTATCATGTCGTCAGAAAACCTCTTAATATGTTTAGGAACTCAAAGCAAAGAATGTAAGCAGCTCCTCAGCCACCACAGAAAAGGGCAACAAGGAAAAATTGGCTTGCTCAATTTAACTTTTAAAGAGAAGCAAGAAAAATCTTGCTATGAATGTTATTAATAAATACTTCTTACATACATTGTCAAAACCCAAACCTCAATTAAAGCCCGTGTATACATTGTTTATCTGTAATCAATGAACAACTTCCTTGAACAAAAGGCAAGAAGTGCATGATTGTTCTCATGTGGCAGGAATGAGACAGAACTATGGCACATCAATATCCCCATTAAATGCACACTATCACAAAAACAACAAAATAGTTGCTGAACCCCTGTTAAATTCCCTACAGGCAATCACCTACTTTTTTCTCTTTGGATTACTACGCTAGATTCCATATGGTTCGTTGAATGAATACAAACAAGACAAATTGAGCAAAGAGGGAAGATACTCTCAGATAATCAATTATTCGTACTCTTCAGTCTTAAGTCTAGCCCCTGAAACCGTTTGGATTGTTGGACTGCCATTTCCAAGTATCCTTGCCTAAGAAAAATGAGACAGAAAATACAAACTGTTACTTTAAACCATTTAAAAGAGAATTTCACTGATATAAAGCATAGCAGAAACAAACCACAGGTTTAAATGGTACCTACACATGTCTGACAAGTTGCGTTTTGCTGTCCAGCCAAGTTCCTTTTTGGCAAGAGATGGATCAGCAAAGGAGGAGGCAATGTCACCAGGGCGCCTCTCTACAATCTGGTACGGGATTTTTTTGCCACTTGCTTTCTGAAATTCATTGACTAGCTCCAAAACTGAAAAGCCTGCTCCTGTTCCCAAGTTGTACACTTTCCAGCCACTGAACTTCTCATCCATTACTTTTTTCGTTCCACTAATGTGACCCTCAGCAAGGTCCACAATGTGAATATAGTCTCTAACACCTGAGATGGTGAAAAAAATTAATTAAAAGTTAATGTCCTTAAAAGAATTAAAAATGAATTGATATTTATTTCTATACCTGTCCCATCCACAGTGTCATAGTCGTTTCCATATACTTTGAGTTCAGAACGCTTGCCTGTAGCAACTTGAGCAACAAAAGGCATTAAATTGTTAGGAATGCCATTGGGATCCTCCCCAATCAAGCCACTGCTGTGGGCTCCAATGGGATTGAAGTAACGTAGAGCAACAACACTCCATGTCTGTCCCCAGGCCCCCCAAAAAGGTCATTTTAGTAGAACAACAACAAACAAACACCAAGATGTTTTAATTTGAGGGATATTTCTAACCTTGTCAGATGCACAAAGATCTTGCAGTATTTCTTCAATGAAAATTTAGTCTTGCCATATGGATTGGTACAGCCTTGGCCAATCGGGTGGTCTTCTGTAAGAGGTAGCTTTTGGGGAAGACCATAGACCGTTGCAGATGATGAGAAAAGAAGCCTCTTCACATTAAATTCTTTCATCACCTTAACATAAATTAGGTGAAATAGAATGAGTTAAAAAAGTAACAACACACTGGAGGACAGTACACTATGTGGTTAGAGGCAAATACTTACCTCCAGAAGATTTATAGAGCCACCGACATTGTTTTTGTAGTAGGTGAGAGGAATCTCACAGGATTCTCCAACTGCTTTCAATGCAGCCAGATGAATAACACAAACAATGTTATGCTGTTAGAGGGCAGATAAGATCTGTCAAACTAAATTTCTTTTCAAATTGAAACATTCAAGAGAAAGAAAAAAAATGAAGGGACCTTTGAGAAGACGCTTCTTAATGCTGCCACATCAAGAAGGTCAACATCATAGAATGTGACAGTCTTGTTAGTAATTTTCTCAACTCTTCTCAATGACTCTGGTTTTGGACCTCCATCTTGACCTAGTATGCAAAAAGGGTATTATGGTATACAAAATATTCATGCTAGCACTTGTTGATTGGGAAAGGAAATTGTACGCACCTCTCAAGGCATTAACAAAGTTGTCAATGACAACAACATTAAATCCACTGTTCAAAAGCTCCACAACTATGTGGGAACCAATGAAACCAGCCCCTCCAGTGGCTAAAACCACAGGCTCATCAGATATGCGAGACATTTCCTTCCTGTAAACACACATCACATAAAAAATAAACAAAAATCTTCAGAATTATATATGTTGAGTTAAAGTAATGAAAGCATAAAAGGCAAAGTAAATTAATTGCTAATACGTTTCAGAGTCAAGTGTTAATGCCAGCCACCAAAGTTACATTCAACAATTCCTGCACAATAGTGATTGAAAGAGATCAAACTTCTCAAAGTCATTTCTTCAACCAAGCACTCCACCACAAAAGCAACCCGCATCCACAGGCAATTTAGTCTCATGCACCCACGCTGCAAATTATACATATCATGCTATAGGAGTGAGTGAATGATAAAGAAGTTTAGAAAAGGAAAAAAAAAGACACCAAATAAACAAGATTTAACTAGTCAGTTAAGCATAAGAATGAGAGTTATAGATTCATAATAATGCACATAATGTGTAATAAAGTATTACTCTTTAAATTTTGACTGATGACCTTGTAAGGATGAAAGTACACAGACCACAGAAACAGAGTGTAGATATTCTGCTTGAATATTTTCAAGTCACAGACCTGAAAGTTATGAAGTGTCTCAATCTGCAAGGCACTGAAAGAAACTGTCACTTTTCCCACCACTCTTATCTAGAGGTCACAGGCATGCCATGAGGATCTCTTGGGGAGTATAGTTTACTGATAACACGGCCAAGGAGAGTACACAACAATAACAAGCTTCACAAAACCACCACCTCAGACCTTCATGGTTTCAGAAAGAGAATCTTTTTTTAAAATTCCATTATACCTTTTATCAGTATTATAAACTAAAAAAATCGCAAAACCGTAACCAGAAACAAAACACAAAGCAGAAAACGGGGTAAAATTCATACTTATTAGTTCAAACCACCAGAAATTTGGCAATTGATACACAAGGTCATGCAAACTGCGAATCAATTATCGGTCAAAGAAGGATGGTGAACAAACGGTGGCACAGGGAACATACCATGTCTGCAGCTGTCTCACGAGCACAACAGAGGCAACTGACAGCAACAGAACTGCGATACTCCTTCCAACCTCCATACTAAATTTATTTAAATCTGCGCTAGAAAAAAATTAGCATGTGTTAAGCTACACAAAAAGCATTCCAGGATTCTGTAAAGCATATAGACTGCATTTTTCAGTGACAGACGAAACTCCAGAGATACCATGATTTTAAATGTGACTTCAAAATAAAGCACCCAAGAAAAAAAAAGAGACATATGGAGCATAAGTTCACAGGCAAGGACAGCAAGTAACAAAAGAGTACTAGGCTGAACGAATTGGAAAAGAGCTTCTTTGTAATTTTTTAAACCTTTAAAATAGATCACTAATGCTAAGCCAGAAATTGTAACATTTGTGATATGAAGACTGTTCATGAGCTTCAAATTTAAATAACTGAGCTTATGCTTCATATATACAGCCAAAGACCCAAGCTCTCTTTGCTCAGTTAGAAAAATGTAAAAATGATGTTTCAAACGTCATTTCTATAATTTTTTTTTTTTAGAAATTTGATGATGTATGCAATTTCAGTGGCAGATATAAAGTGTGCAGAGCATAGCAAAACAATAGGCAGCAGCACAAATCACAGTTCTCACATCATTTCCTTCCGCAAGCGACACCAAGGACAAGCTTAATTGCGCAGCATCTTTTGACCCATACTTTCTTTCACATCTGTAGTGCGCGGGTCTAAACAAAATTCCTATGAGGAACACCTACCCAATTTCTTGAATATACTGCTACCTTTAAGTATTTAACAAAACTACTTCAATTTCTACACGCAAGATTAAATTTCTGGAATCCCTGACTGCACATAACGTTAAAATAAAAGCAAATCTAGAAAAGTTGTCATCCGGAAGACAGAAAACCATTGGTTGGGGATTCAGCCGCAGAAATTTTTTATCTCTCCAAATTTTATTAAAAGGCTCAACGTCAACGTCGGGCTACTCATCAACTTAACCTCTACACACACATGAACTCAATCCAGTATGTAAACAAAATTCATTCGAGACTGTACTAAACGTCTAAGCATAAAACACAGAATTATCTGTCGCTACAAAAAGTAAACGATGAAAATCAACATCACCAGCTAAAATGTGCGATAAATGATGGCACGGCAGTCGAGCTCGGAATGTCGTCAAGTGCAAGTGTCAGCAGTCAGCAGAGCAGACGTCGCAGACGTCAACAAGCGAGGGGTGTTCGTGTAGTCGATCGAACCGGTACTACTTACCGTTTGCCAAGAAATGCATGTAGATAGTGAATGCAAACACCGAAAAGAACCCTGCAGAGCACATAATCAATCTTTTCACTGCTCCAGCGAGTTAAAGTCCCCTCCAGGGTTGCCGTTACGGGATTTCACCCCTTTTAAGCCGCAGGGTGGTCAGATTTGCTTTCTGGCCAATCTCTGCTCGCAAAAACTGCCCTCTAGAAACGCAGAGCGCAGAGTGACAGCTGAAGGGAGGGGCGAGGGGTGGGTGGAGCAGAGGGGTAGGTGTTTACAAAAACAGTCCAGATCTGTCACTTTATCTCTTTTAAGCATTTTCACCTGTTCACAACATAATTTGACATCCTACTTGAATCAAACGTATGAGTCATTAAGTTGTTTATTATCTGATGCATTTATTCTCTACTTGAATGAATGTACAATGGTAAGCGGCCGATACAAGCTCTAAGTGACACTGCACACCTCCTTCTTCACTATGTCTCCAGCCGTTTTTGTTATCTGTTCTAGACTGTCTCAACACTCTCTCATGTTTCGGAAGTCCTTGGAATACCAAAGAGTTATCTTCGTGCACCGATTGTGGACCACATTGTCGATGCAACTGTTCACAAAACATGGATGAGGTAACTGTATGCCCTACTGTGATTATTCCGTCACAATCAAGTACCCGTAAGTCTCATTATATCTTCGATTAATGCAGGACGCTGATTCAAACTGGCCAAACACCTGAATTTATTACCCATGATACATTTGGAGAGGATGAGGTTCGGTCTTGGGTACAGCAGGGAGAAGACTTGGGACCAGATTGGCGTCGTTATCGTTTAAGGGTTGAGTATACTTTTATAATGACAGCTTGGTTTTATTCCTTATTACATAAGGCATCAGGGTGTCTGGAGTGTGGACTCATTTCAAAGGCTTCAATTAACTTAAAAGTTTAATGTTGGATAGTAATGCTGATATCACTCATTGTCTGATACATTAAAAGCTATTGACTTCTACTATTTCCTTCCTTTAATTCAGGTCATTCTGAAACAAGCTAAACAGGTTATACCTCTTCCTCGATTACGATCTACAGCTAACAATACTAATGACAATAGCTCTGGAGAAACTGTTCTCTCTTATGGTGAATTACTTCACTACATTAGTCATACTAATCATAGAAACATGTGGAAGGATATGTATAAAAAGTATTATCCTGGTAAGGCTTTCCTTTCAAAATTAAAACTCTATGTGAGACATGTACTTAGCAGCAATCCATTTCTAATAAGTTCATTAATTCCTTAAATTTTATTGTTTTAGATCGGAATATGGTCAAAGAAACAAATGAGGAACCTCATATAAACTTAGTTGGCTTTGACTCAGCATTGAGAGATGTAATTGCTCGCACATATGGGTGTATGATCATCAACCTTAATAGTGGCCCTGAATTGGATTTTAGTCAACGAACGCGACGTAATTTACACAAGCTTGAACCTCATTGTAACATTCTACCTGCTACTGTTGCTATTGAGACTGAGAGCTCCTTTATATTATTATTTCACCCATTCATACCCTACACGTTGCAGGTACTGTCATTGTGAATCAGCACAGTCTTGAATATGCTATTTCGTATAGACCGTCACCTTCACACCCTTTATCTTTAAAACAGGATTGTGTCAGCTTCAGTCCAGCAATTCTTGGCTCATGTCACACAAAACCTCTTTTCATTTTGTATCAGTTATTGCAAGCCATGTGCACACTTCATGACAGAGGTCTTGTCCTTGGGAATGTCACACTAAGTGACATTTTACTGTCACAAAATCTTTGGATTCAGGTAATTTGCATAAGTCTTTAATAACAGTAAACAATACATACAAAACCAGGAGAACTTTTAACATAGTGTTTCTTGAACCAGGTCATTCCTTCTTTAGAAGATAATATTTATGACATTCCCTTAGAATGTGAATCAAGTTTCCTTAAAGATTGCAACAAAGCAGAAGGCAGAAGTAATTCTGATAACTTCTCCTTTACTGATGAGAATGTTCTTTTGAAAACTGATGCTGTATGTCCTGATGACTCCTGTAAACACACAAAAAAGGTGGTATGTCTGTTTTCTTTCATTTCATTGATTTATTTGCATGAAAAAAAATGAAATATGATAGTTATTTTTAGCTTTGTCAATACAATTTTTCTGCTTCAGGAATGCTCTAAAGACCAGTGTATTGGGTTGGAGAAAGCTTGTCACTCATGGATTACTGGTCAAATGTCCAATTTAGAATACATTACCCAGCTGAATCGTTTGGCGGGACGTAGACTTGGTGATCCCACTTGCCACCATGTTTTGCCTTGGGTCTCAGATTTTTCAGGCCCTAATGGGGGCAACTGGAGAGACTTTACCAAGTCCAAATTTCGACTGAACAAAGGTGATCGTCAACTTGATTTGACCTATGACATTGCCGCAAGCAGCTCACAGGTAATGAGATTTATTTTAGGGCAACCTTAATTTTTAGGTTTTACAATTTACATATATTTTTAAGCTGGTTCTGCTCAAATATTTTTGCTTTCTTTTTAAATATAAATTTTTGGGCGCAGGTTCCTCATCATGTTTCTGATGTCCTATCTGACATAACTTACTATGTTTATTTGTCTCGGAAGACACCCAAATCTGTGTTATGTAAAGTTGTAAGATCAACATGGGTCCCAGCAGAGTATCCATCCTCTATTCAACGTATGCAAGAATGGACTCCGGATGAATGTATTCCGGAATTCTTCATGGATGCCTCAGTTTTCAAGGTGCTGCTAATTTTTGTATGTATTAGAGAATTTCAAATTTATGTACTTCATCAATTAACCCAATTATTCATTTTTTTCTAGTCCATTCATGAAGATTTGCCTGATTTAGAGATTCCAAGCTGGGCTTCAAGTCCTGAAGAGTTCATTGAAAAACATAGGGAGATGTTGGAGTCCCCTTATGTTTCTGAAAGACTGAATCACTGGATTGATCTAACATTTGGTTACAAGTAAGCCAATGCTCTTTTTTCTTCCTGTATTGAATTGTTTTCAAGCTGCAGTATTTATTGTAAGTTATTTTTACCTTCTTCAGACTGTCAGGAGCTGCAGCTGTGAAGGCAAAGAATGTGTGCTTACATTTGGTTGACAGCCACACAACTTTAAACAGTTCTGGTGTTGTTCAATTGTTCACTCAGCCTCATCCACAGAAAGTTTGTGCTTCACCCTACTGGGGAAAGGTGCCTCCTCGAATCATTTCTCCCCTGAAGGGTGAGTTTTCCCATCTGTTCTCAATAGCAATAAATACTTCCTTTTTAAAAAAATAATTATATTATCTTTTTTTTTAAATGGGAAAAAAACCCACAGGTGCAAGAATTGAACGTGAAAGTGCAGATGAGGAGTTCAGTGGTTCTGGTTTTGATGATGAAGACTCAAATATAGCTCCCTCATCAAGTCATAATAAGCCATCTCCTTTGGTGCTCACTCGCTTCCTAAGTCGATCCCGTGGATCCCTATTGGTAAGATTATTACCTACCAGTAAAGTCTGTTATCACTGTTTGGATTTTATATTATAGAATCTTCACTGTAAATTATTTTTACAGACTCCATCTGCTGAAGACATGCCTTCCTCTAATCCAATCCTCTCAAAAGCCACATGTCCTACCAATGTCCAAGGCAACCCAGGAGCTGTTGGTGCTGCAAACTCTACAATTTATTTGCCACGAGATTTTCATCCAGTTAGTGCCTTGCAGGCTGTTGAGTCATTACACACCTTCTTAGGGAAGACGTTTCATCATGGTGTTACAGAAGATTCTTCTGTTACATTTGATGGGGAACATAGGCCTGTCACTAGATATAAATTACAAATTGTTGCTTCAAAGAGATTTAAAGAAATGCAGGTAAAAATATTACCAAGAAATAATGTTTTTCAATGTTTTGCTCTTTTTGTTTTTGTTTTTTAATTTTTCTGCCCCATTTTTCAGGTTTTGGGTTGTTTGATTGTTGAGTTGTTTTTAGCTGGTCGAATAAGAGCATCAGCCACCTCACATGAACAACGTCTCCAAGTATGCCAATCAGTTGCTCGCCATTGTGGCGATCAGTTACCCCGTTGTGTGAGACAAGTTGTTTTCTTGTTGCTGCAACTCCCTAGTCCTGTAAGTTTCATCAAACTCCTCAAATGCCAGGAGAAATAATTAGAAAATCATCATTGATTTATATATTTGAAAAAATTAATAATTTAGGATGGTATTTTTCTATTTTTTCAAGCTGGCTGGAGAAGACTCAGACTGTTCTAATCTTAACAGTGCTGGGTTTCGATATCCACTAATTTCTACAAATGGATTGCCACCTCCTTCTGCTCATCAATTCTTGCAGCCCTCTCTTTCCTCAATGCTCATTGCCTTCCCCAAACACTTCCTGACTGTATTTGGTTTGTTGAAAAAGACACAGGACTATGCATCTCTTTCGCGAGAACTTTGTTACCAGGCGGAACTTGTGGATGGTCAGGAGGATGACATCCAAATGTTATCCGACAAAGTAAGTTGCAATAACTATTCTCTGCATGTTACTGTATGTTTTCTATTTGTTTCGTCACTTTCACTCTAAGTTTGATCTCCCCAAATGTTTTTAGCTTCAAGAATGTTGGGTCAAGACTGTTGCCCATGATTTAACCTTAATATTACCACTGCTAGACACATCCTTAGTCCATCTGCTACTTCCACACATCAGACAGTTAATGGAAGATCCCAATTCTGCGGTTGTTGCCACATGGTATCTCTTTGATCCAATAGCTCAGTAAGTCTTACATCACACTCCTCAATATTTTACAAATACTGTGAAAATTATGATTTTTATGTATTTATTCATGTGTTTGTTTTATTTTTAGAGCTTTGGGTCCATCTGCAACTTGCACTCATCTTTTGGACACAATCCTCAAACTTTACAGTGAATTTCGTATCAATGATGACAATATGAAGGATTGTGGTGGTTCTGTGGATAATGAGAAGATCCTTAGTAGGCATGTAAAGCAAGCTAAACTTTTCCATCGTACCTTTCTTCTGCGCCTGCTAGTTCGGTTTGGCTTAAAGGCTTTCCTTGACAACTTTATTACACCTTTAGTGGAAGCTGTGGGAGGCTACCATGAAACTGCTCGTCAAACTAACTCAGCATTCAATGACAATGGAATGCGTTTGCGGGGGAACATGGCTTCTTCTCCTCATGGCTTGAATGAACCATCACTTTTAGATGTCGGTGATGCTGCTAATCAAGATTCATCTGTGGGAAAGTCCCTTAACTCTGGAGGTTTTCTGTCACCCATGGAAGATGATTTATCAGGAGGGGAAAATGAGACAGAAAAGCCTCAGAAACCAAGTACAAATCAAGATGGCAGTGGGGTGGAAACTGAGGTAAATTGTTGTGGTACCCCTTGGATAATTGTTAAGGGCATAAACCTAAATGTGACCCCTGTATTTTAAGTTAATGAACTCTTTGACAGGTGGAACCAGAAATGTTTGTTCTTGATGCTGATGATGATTCAGCTCCTCTAGATCGTCTCATGGATCAATTAGATTTTCAACCAGATGATACTGACGATTATGAAGATGCACACCCATTTGGTTGGTCCTCAATAAAATGTTAACATTGTGTCCTTTTCAAAAAGTAAAAAAAAAATCAATGTTTTTTTTTCCTATTGGTTTTTAGATTCTAATGCTGGTCCAAAGTCCCCAACAATACCAATTCCAGGAAATTCTGGCACAAGCTATGAGTCTAGAATGTTCTCTAGCGATTGTGAGGATGCAAAGAATGATGGAGATGAATTTGATGGCAATCTTTCACATGCATCAGTAGCAAAAACTGATGATGAGTGCTCTATTGGTCTGTCTGGTACACGATCTGCTATGAAATTTGATAAGGATTTTAAGGTAACCAAGTTGTGATGTTTTGGGACTAACTGAGTAGCATCATTGTATCCCTTATTAAGATTCTATTTAAAATCTGTCTTAGGTCAGTGACGTCAGTACCGAATCCTTGATATGGCTGGCCCACAGATTGGGGCCTGTGCTGACTGCTCGTTACCTCTCTAGAAATCTTTTGCGGATGCTCACCCTATGCTACTTACGTGTAGAGAACTTGCAACCAGTTCCTACATCTGGGAACACTTTTCCATCTCCCGATACTCTCCAAATTGTAGGATGGAACATAGTGGGAGATCAGAATGCAACTAATGTTTTGGAATGTTTATCAACAATTTCAGGTACTGTTTCATATAAATACTGTATGTGCAACGTCTTTTTCCAATTATTTTTTTAAATTTGAAGATCTACATGTTAACTTTTACAGCTCTCTATGGAGAACAATTGATTGTACTTCAATACTTGCCTCACATGGGTGAACTTATTGCACATTGCAGAAGGAAACTTACTCAAAATCTTGAGGCAGGATTAGTTGGCTGTCTTGCTTTATTACGCCACATCATTCCATACATGACTGATAATACTTTAATGGATCAATTACAGGTAAAACTTAAGAAGTTATGACTGTAATTGTTGTGTTTTTACATTTTGTGAAACTGTATACCATTGCGTGTTCCACAGGATGTAATTTTAAAGACAATTCTTCACCCTTCTGTGCGGCTTTTGTCAACCACCAGAATGGCCTATCCTTCAGGCTGGGCTGCACGCATGGCAGTCACAACCAAGTTTTGTGATGCCTTGTACCTGTTGTCCCTGCGTCTTGGAAGAGAGATGACTCACCGGCATCTTGCAGTTCCAGCATTGCAAAGATTCTTTTTAACTTTTAGCAAAGCTCATGTTGATAGAGAAAATGCCATGGCTCTGTCAGCTACACCCAATTCTAATGCCTCAGGAGATGGTCTTCTTATGGAAAGTGTTGCTCAAAGAGACACAGTGAGCCCTATGAGGTGCGCTATGATGTTTGTTTCGTAGTGACCTTAAAAATTAAACAAGAAAGCCCAAACTATGATTAAGATTTTATGAATTATTTTTCAGATCCTTAGAAGAATCTAGTTATCTTGAAATTAGAAGAGACGGTACTATCACAGAATGGGCTGTGCGACGTGGTGTTCCTGTTCAAATAACACATGTCAGGAGCCGTTCCAAGATATGCGACAGCGAATCTGCTGATTCGTATTCACCACCACAAGCCCTTAAAAAATCTCAAACTGAAGAAGAAGCCAATTCAGTTGGAGTTGATTTTGATCCTATTCGTACACATGCTCAAGAAGAACTCCGATTAGTATTCAGCCCTCAGTTAGCACACTTGGTCTACATTCCCTTTTTCAGATTCTTGGGTGGGCCAGTGGTTGAACAGTCTCTTAAAAATCATTTGTTAATTCAGGATCTTTGTTTTGAGTATGAGCAAGAGATGCAGCATGTTGGACCCAGTGGTGGTGAGTCTCTGGAAGCAAAATCCCTTTATTTGTTTTGGTATTTTGAATGACAAGCTCTGAAATTCTTGTTCATAGTTCCAGATGACATGTTCTATCTTTCGGACTATTTGTCACCTCCTACTCCTTTAGATATGGAGAGAGCTGGATCTGGAAGTTTTGGCACTAATGTTGCATTGGTTGGCAATCGCATCGAACTTCAGGTCAGACTTTAGAAATAGTGTAATTATTTTCTTGTATTTTAAAAAAAAATTATTTGCTTATGAAGTTGAACTTATTTATTTTTGTTACCATTTGATTAGCGGCCAGATATTCGAAGTGGAGGTTCTAGTGTTGAACAAGTACAACATGAGGCAATGATCCAAGCTGATCTTAGGGTTGAAACAAGTCCCACAAGGTATCAATTAATTTGCACCGCAATTATGCCTTACCAAGTAAATTTGCATCATATGTTTGTCTTTGGGTATTAACTACCTTCCTTTATTCAAAAACCTACAGGCATTTGAGAGGAAATTGGCTTGCCTATTGGGAGCATGAAATTGGCAGAGCAGAGAAGGACTCACGGTTTAATTTTAAACAGATCAAGCTTCAAACTTTTGCTGGGCACACAAATGCAGTTCGAAGCATTGTGGCTTTGGGAAATGAAAATAGCTTCCTGAGTGCTAGCAGAGACAAAACAGTAAAGTTGTGGTCTCTGAGAAGTCAGGTACGTTGATTTGGTGTTACAACCTTTTCAGTCTTTTGGTATAAAAATAAATATAATAAGATTTTCTTTTCTTTTAGGGGGATGGAAGTACCATTTCACAGTGTCAGTGGAATTTCACTGGACATCGTAAATCAATAATCTCTTTGACATTTATTGAATCTCTGAGACTCGTTGCATCATGTGACTCTGTTGTCCAAATATGGGACCCATGGTATGGTAGGGTGGTGAGCAGTCAACCAGGCGAATCACTTGGAGGCTCTGTGTCAACTAGAAACCCTCCTCCCATCAATGTCTTGAGGGCATTGCCTGCGCCCTCTTCATCAATCTTAGCTGCAACAACGGATTCAACTCTACGGCTCTTGGATGCCCGATTATGCCTGTACATCAACCAGTTAAAGGTGGGAAATTTATGAGCCCCTTAGAACTGGTAAAACTGTCGTCAATTCGCACATCTGTCATTTGTCTAACCTCCTTTTCAAAATTTCTATGTTGTAGGTATCTTTGACTCCAGTTGGTCTTGTCCGTTGCATCGCTATTGGTCCCAGTGGATTTTGGGCAGCTGTTGGTCAGTCATCTGGCTTTCTAACAATCCTTGATATTCGCACTGGACTTGTTATTGCTTCCTGGAAAGGCCATGAAGGAGAGGTATGTCAATGAGGTGAAATTGGGCTGGTTGTAACTTTTCACCGTTCAAATTTTTTCCTACCCTTGCTTTTTTTTTTAACAGGTTCTTCAGTTAGTGGCTGTAAATGATACTACATTGGTCAGTTCCTCATTAGATCAGACAGTTTCTGTTTGGAATGCTGTTGATGGCAAACTTAGGTTTCATTTAAGGTAAAGTCTGAAGAGATGTGTAACATTTTGATCTACATACAGAAATACATAATATTCTGTAATTCATCTATTTCAGGGGCCCAACAGAGCCTGTGCACTGCTTAGGTGCTTACTGCTCCGAACTCATATCTGGAACCACAGCTAATAGAATTGGGGTTCACACTGCAATAGACTCTGCTGCATCATTTTCTTCAACTCGTCTTCGATCGGATACTTTCCGCGGAGTTTTAACTACCATGGCTGTTTTGCCGTCCAATCGCCTTCTCCTTCTTGGTGCTGACAGTGGAATTATTACACTGCTGTCATAGTAAAAATAAATTGAATGAACTTAAAATAAATTATGGTTGTACTTGTAAATTATGGGATCAATAATACACAAAGCCTAAGACTTGTTGTCTGTGATATATTATCTATATTGTATCAATTAAATGTAACTTAAGACTATGCATTGGAATAAAAAAACAAAAAAGCAAAAATGGAGATTGATGTTTATTGAAACCTGGGCTTGGTTTAACTCAGATGGGGCAATGAGGCGGAGGGAGATGGAGATGACGGTGTTTTCGTATCATAGGTCATAGCCAAAATCTGTTGTTTCATTTCATTTTTTCCACTGTGTCTTGAATATTTTTTAGACGGCCGTCCATCCCCTCCCCACCACAACTCCCACCCCTGCATCAGCATACGCCACGCGGACGCGGTCCGTGCCGTGCCTTGGCCGTGCCGCTGCACCCCTTGCCTCCCTTCGGGTCGGGCTGGTCGAGTCGGGCTCCCCTACCCTCAACCCATTGGTTCCCTCCAAACATAAAAAAGGAGGCAGGCGCGCTGTGAGCTGCGCGCTTCAATCCTTTAGGGGAGGGGCTTGTGAATGGGAAGGAGGAGAAGGGTTGGGCAGGGAGGCTCGCTGACGTGTCTGCCTGATGCAGTCTGCAGTTGCAAGGCGGCCCGGCAAAGGGCAGGACACACCAGTGTGCGCTGTGGCGTCATTTGAATGTGCCTCAAGGACTGTGCGGCATGGTGCAAAGAAGACCTTCGCCTGTTTGGATACAGCATTGACTATCTGAGTGTAGAGTGTGTTCAGGTAACAGCATTGCCTTTTTTTTTTTGAACAGACACCCTTGTTTGTTAATTCTACGGCAGTCACAATTTTGAAATCGTCCATTTTAAAGTCATGGCTGGAACCTACTCTCAGCCTCCATATTCCTCTTTATTTTTTGAACTCTGCCGGGTTCCCTTTTGCATTTTTTCTGACAGAAAGAAAAAGGTTTTGAACATTTTCAAACCTTTATTTTTAACCTTTTTTTTTTTCAAATTTTAAGATTTTTTTTTAACATTAAATTAATTTGAGCGGTTAATGTTGGAGGGATTGTGACCACGCCCCGCTCTGCAACTGGTTCCTTCTTCCTTCCGCGAGTTGAGCGAGTTCCTGTTCGCCGCTACCCGCGCGTCACGTCGCGTCGCGCGTGTACTTCCCTTCTCCCTTCCCTCCACGCTTGGCTCGGGCAGCGCAAGCTAGCGCGGACGGCCGAGAGATGGCGCGGTCCGTCCACCGGCTTGGCTCTTGCCTTCGTTGTTTCATCTCATCCTCATCTAAGCGGTGCGGTGGTGGCCCGGACGTGGTCTCCATGTCCATGATGGAGAAGGGGACGTAGTTATAGCACTACGACGGCACTCGTGCTCCTAGGTGCTCGCCGACTTGGACGCCGCGCTGGTGTGGTGTGCGACATTTGGCACGTTTTGTACGTTGCGTACCGGCCGTCTCAGCCAGGTCAAGCATCAGCCGCGCCGGCACGCCGCGGAAGCAGGAAAAGCGACTCGCGCCGCTTCAAAAAGTGACAGAACATAGCCATCGCCGGTCGCGGGTCGCGGCCGCACGACACCCCCCTCTCTCTTTCTCCTCCCGCAGCATCGCTCAATAAATTCTCATCTCAGAGTCGCCCCCACCC